TACAAAATAGGAAATGGATAAGCTAATAAAGTATTACTAAAATAAGAATAAAAGGAAAAGAAAAGTCAAGTGGTACGATTAGCGGTTCACAACGGATGATCAACGTACGGCAAAGGCGCAGAAAATTTTTTCACATGACGATAGTAACACCGGTTCGGAACTCTAACGAATATGCTATATAACGGGATTTTTTGGCCAGCCAAGATTTCCGTTATATCGATAGTTGACAGTATATATATATATATTTTACACTACTTGTCTTCTATTAAAACATTATTTATGGTTTTTATTTTTCTTCTTTATGTTATTGGCATAACCAATTGTATTATTGTAGAATATTCTAAGTTACATAGTCATAATGCTTCCAACAATTACACTAGGATGATATGAATATACACTTTATTCTGCCTAAATGCAATGAGTATTTTAATGATTATTTTTTACTTAATTTCTTTTTTTTTATGGATGTTACGTTTAAATGATGTCCAGCCCTTAATTGGATTGGAACTGTTCTGTTGGGCGTTGGCTTGCGTTGGGTTTTATCTTGTTTTTGTTGCAACGCCATTTTAGCCTATATGACCAGAAACACGCTCATTAATAAAGACGAATAAATAGAAAAGATACTTTACAGGTAAATTTGACCTACATTATGTACAGCATTTGAAGTCAAATCCCTAAGTAATAGTTCTGTTTCCCTCGTTCTTGGATGTTCGGCTCCGAACTAAAGCAAAATGTGACATTTAAGTAAAATGAATTTGGGGGGTCATTTCAAAATCAGACCCATTTAATTACCACTGCATGGAAAATGTGATACGCTGACTTTTCGGCAATCAATGCAGCTTTGTAATCCTCCGCATATGCAAGAGCTTTGGCAAGGAGATGATAGCTAATAAATAAATAAATAAAAGGTACGCAAATAAACAACTCTGATTTGAACATTAAATAAAAACATAACTTTTATTGAATTTTTATAATCTTACGATTCTCCAGTTACGACGTTATTTTTTCCAAAGACAAATTCATTTGTATTCTTGGCTCGTTCAAAGAATTTTATGCTACCTTCGTAATCTTTCATGTTTTGAAGCATAATTCCAACATTATGCTATGGTTAATAATAAAGGTGATCAGGCAATCATTTAAATCCTGCATACTTAAAAGTTCCCATATTACTTACATCTGCCGTAGCTCCATCAGGATGCAAATTTCCAAAGATGATCTCCCAATAATACATGGCATGTCGCATATACTTGAGGCCTAATTCAGTGTGGCCAATAGCATTTTCAAAGAGGCCAAGATGTAACTGCAAATTTGATAAACACAATATTAAAAATATCTAATTATGCAATAATCACATTAAAATGATTTTATTCAACTTACGTAACCATGAATAGCATCCACACTATCAACGCCACAGGTTCTCTCAAGAACAATAACGGCTTTTTTTTTGAAAGTCAATAGCAATTTCCAAGTCTTCATTATGATAAAAGCACATAGCCAACGCTGAATAACATTTTGCTGTTGCTGGATGTAGAAAACCATAACTTTGCTCATGTAATGCAAGCGATTGTAACATGAGATCAACACCAAGGTCTCTATTGCCTAGATACAAATATCAAATAATCATTGGCATATATAATACAGAATAAATATTGAGAAAATTTTTGTCATAATAAATTAATCATACCTTGTGCTATACTAAGTTTTCCGGTTTCAAAAGTTTCTTCGGCAAAAGCACACTACATTTATAACAACATGCATTAATAACTATAATAAAGAAAAATAAATAACGTAAAGTTCCTCCTAATTTTACTTTGGGTGTTGCTTGCTTGATTGTTGGGATAAGGTTCAGTATGTCATCAGGTACAAATGTAGTAACCCTCTTTTTGGACTTCTTTTTCAGAAAATTATATCCTTGAGCTGCAATTTGTACACCCACTCGTAGACATATCTCTCTAAGCAATGGTAATTTGCGAACGTGAACATTAATGAAATCTTCGGGAAGTCGATAACGGTAACGTATTAGTACCGTTTCGCGAATTTGTTGGCAAAGTGACGATGGTGTAAGGGTTAGGTAATCATATTCAAGGTTTTTATTACTAGTAGTGGAGTCTGGTACTAAAGGCTGGGGGTTTATATTAACATCTGTGCCTAATAAGCAATTCAAAAAATGTGAAACACAATATGGGATGTACGTATTCGTGATTTGGCGAAGAAGACCACGAAGGATGCGTTTTGATGCTCGAATTATCATTTCATGTATAATAAGATGCTATATAAATTAAACGCAAACAAATCAGCTTCATGCAGTTAAAGAACAGCGTTCTAGTTCAGAAAACACTAACTTCATCACGTGAAGTCTGTCCGACCCCTTACGTAATGATGGTTGAATACATGATGATCAATCATAAGATAATTTACCTTTACATGATCTAATTTGTGATCCTGTGATTCATTAATAATATTAGCAATCATTCCCAAATACCGCATATTGATTCCCCGACGATGCATCGTTGTAGTGAGGGATATCCCGTCAACAGGGGATACAGCTAGGGTAGTAAATTCTATAATCTATTTGTTGTATAAAGATCAAATATGGATAAAGAGAAATTTTTCTTGACAGTGTTACATATTAACAAGTACACACCAACATCCGAATAACCGTATCTCTCAAATATTTTGATGCATTCCGCACATTTTCTTCATCAGCAGCCTTGCGTGCTGCGTGCTCATCTCCCGTCGGTGTATTAAAATTTGTAAATGCATCTGGATTAAAAGCTAAATTAAACTCATCAGATTCTGTGATTGTTGCTTCCTTAGTCGAATCGCCAGCCTCCTTTAATGATGAGAATAAATTTGTTAATCTCAAATATAGGTACATTAAAGGAAACAAACCGAAATATGTTAACGTAAATATTTGGTTTTATATACTTTTTCTTTGGCTTTATCTTGCAACCACAACCGGAATCTATAATCCCAATATGATTCTATCAATTCTGGTCTAAGCAGCGCCAATCTGTGAGGATAGATGGGAATATCGCTCCCTTCCTTAAGCTCGCACTCTTTTTCTATAAATTCTATATCGACCGGATTAAGACGATACAGATCGAACAAATACCGCCGTCCATCATCACCCATCAAGCCCTATCAGCAATGTATTTAGATGAAATATTTAGATAAATTTTTACAATTGTTACGGCTGATGCTAAAATTTCAATATATAAATTTATTACAATGTATTAGACTGATCTATAACAAATAATTTTTGCCGGCAAAAAAAAAAAAAAAAAAAAAAAAAAGATCGACGTAATTTTACCATCAGCCGCTACAATATTTAAACAAAGATTCAAATATATCAATAATCAATATCAAACCTTTGTTTCCAAAGAAGTGTAAAGTTTAACTGTTGTTCCTTTTGCATCACAAACGCTGAATTTATGGGCAAAGTAGATTAAAATATCATTTATTTACAAAAAATAAACAGAATAAACCCGAAATATTACCTGTGTTCTTCAAGATGAAGTGCCTTTGCAGCTTTTCCCACTATTTCGTGGAACTCCGCATTAGCACATAATTTCGGATCGTCACGTCCATTGTCAAAATAACCGTATACAATAGAAGAATCATCTTGACGCCTGAAAATTCCTAGATAAATAACGGAAATGAGAAATTTCAAATGTGCAAGAACAGAGTAATCAAAATAAATTTTGTAAACCTGGTACAATAGTTTGCGCAACTATGCGGACACCCTTATAATCTATAACAACACAACCAAGTGTATATAACCCTTCTACGTCAATAGAATTCACAGTTCGTATTCCTTCCATGTCTTTTCCAGTGGCTACATGTGCAGCATCGTTCCCACCAAGTTTTGAAAATGTCCCTCTTGTATCAAACGCTTTACTGAAAAAAATGTTGTTGTACACGTACATGTGTTCATCCTCGGGATCACGAGGATTAAAAGGAATGACATTACCGTTAATAACAGCAATGGCACCCTTGACAGCACTCTCTGTGAAATCGGCCTGAATTTTATTAATGAGCCTTTCGCGTAACACCCGATCTCTTAACTCGACCCTTGGGTATTCACGTTGAGATTGAAACTCATCATTCCAGTCTCGGAGCGAGTCAACGGCGTCCATACCGAAATTCAAATATATTTCAGTTGCACGACCCATATCATAAATATGTTTGGATTGCCTAGCAATCCATGGATAGGCAGGAAAACAAGTATTAACAGGTATGGTCTCGAATGGATGGTGTGCACCAATAAAGTCTTGCAAGATTTTAAAATTAGTACGAAATGAAGGAGAAAGCCCTTGAAGAAGTGTAATAAGAGAATGTGCATGATATAGTTGAAGCTCCGTTCGAGGATTGAAGTCAAAATTTTTTATAGTCGACCTATTCACAAAAAATCCGTCTACTCCTGCTGTGATATGTAAAGTTTCACCCTCGATAGTTGTCACAATTAAGTAAAGTAGATCGCCTATCGTTACAAATAGCATTTAAATGGAATGAATATCTAATTACGGTATATATTAATACAAGGGATTATTACCTCGTCGGCGACGCTCAAATGGTACAGGATTCCACCCAGAAAGGTATAATGACTCGACACACTTAATTTTGTGTCGACCAAAATTATCTGGGATAAATTTTGATAGAGATGGAGCCGTAAAGTCATAATCAGTAAAAGGTGTTTTTGGAACTTCACTATCTTCTTTAGATTTCCCATTTTCTTCGGCTTGTTCATTATTTGTTTTGACTGTAAGAACATGCATAGACTTAGAAAATGATTACAAGTATGGACCTCAAATAAGTTTATAACATACCATTTATGCCAGTGACTGCTGTAAAAAATGATAATCCTGGATCTATTCCAACGGAAGATGTAGATTGTTTGAACGGTCCAGCAAGCAATTCACGCACATGGATAACGTGAATACGAGCTTCACGTTCAGTATAGGGATCTAATATGGAATAGAAATTTTAATACGACAATTTTTATAGTATAAATAAAATATACGAACCTTCGACGAGATCCAAGTCACAATCTTGTGTGATGCCTTCCTCCTGAAGTTCCTTATAGTCATCGAGCCGTCTACCATTTAAAGTGAGAGAGAAACAAGTATAGATGCATGTTTCTGGTGAATCAATTAGCCATTGTTTAACCTCCTGGACAAGCTCACTAGCATTTGCCTATACAAGAAAATAAATATGTATTAGCTTCGATAAAACAAGATACCGAAAAAAATTGTAAAATTTACCATGACATAAGTCTTGCCAGGAAAATGTGGAAAATTGATTGCTAAAGTAAAATTCTGTTCTTCTGCTTCAATAATTGTGTCTTCTACTACATTTTCGACGACTTTTCCCTCTTTTTTTGTAGTTTCTGGGGTTACTGAAGTTTCTGTTGCCATTATATGAAATTATTTCTTTTACTGCAAGTTTTAAAATCTCCGATCGAGAAAATCAGAACAAAAAAATTTTTTTCGAATAAATTTCTGATCATCAATCTTATCGTTATCATTATCTAATTTGGACGATTAGAAATATATTGATCTACAAACTGCATAAGTGATTTAAGTGATTTAATGCCCGAAAATTATACAGGGGCTGTTTGCTCTATTATTTATAATATTATAATGTTTATCCACGTATAGCGATCGTGTGGCGCAGAAAATTGATCACTTTGTATTACGAAATTTCAACAAATCAAATCACAGCGAAAATGCCGCCCTTGATAGATATAAAAAAAAGGTCAATGTTCTAAAAAATTTATGTTACTACCGAAGTAATAAAGCTAACATAAAATTTGGCAGCCCCGTTATTTCTGCCTAATCTGATTGTAAGACAATTGTAAATAAAGATTGGACCCGCTGAGAAATCTTCACCAGCTTATCCGAGTGATCCGGATAATCTATCTACTATTACAGTTTGACGATTTATATGCTTTAATTTTTGGATTATACTAAACAATAACGATAACCAATAACTTTTGATTTACATGATTTTAATAAACATAAAATCAACTTTAGGTAGTCTTGCCGATACTTTTATTACGTAAAATGAATTGTATACAAATTCTTTCTTAATTTTGAAGTTCGACATTATCCGGCCACTCTAGTTCTCGTAGGCAGAAGTTCGTCTGATTGGCTGATGTCAATTGCCCGGGTAACTTATTAGGGAATAGATTAGTGGGTCCACCAAAATTCAGCAAATCGGCCCGAATTTGGGGTCAGGGATAGGCCGGAGCAA